GGCTCAGGAAGATAGCTACCTTCAAATACCTAAGAGGCTCTTATTCATGGGTATAGAACAGGTGCTGAGTAAATGCTTACTGAAGGCAGAGGAAGGGATCAGTCTAGCTTCGTGTAGTACCATTCTGAAGTAGGACCAATGAGTGAGCCACAGGACATAAATTCAAGCCAAATGCAAGGCCTTTCTACCTAATGAAAAATAAAATAAAATAAAGTTTAAAGGTATTCTAAAAGAAGCAAGCCAAATGTCCAACAATGTATGAATGGATAAACACATTATGGCATTTGGCCATAAAAAAGAATGGAGTACTGATCTATGCTACAACACAGATAAGCCTCAAAAATGTTGTTAGGTGAAAGAAGCCAGATACAAAAGGTTACATATCATATGATTCCATTTATATGAAATATTCAGAATAGGTAAATATATAGAGACAAAAGCTGTTCAGTGGCTTCCAGGGCCTAGAAGGAGGGGGGAATGGGGAGTGACTGATTAATGGGTATGGGGTTTTCTTTTGAGGTGATGAAAACATTTTGAAACGAGATAGAGGCGATGGTTGCACAACATTGTGAATGTACTAAATGCCACTGCACTGTTCACTTTAAAATGGTTAATTTTATGTTATGAGAATTTCATCTCAATTTTAAAAAGTATATTGAAAAAGAAGGCTAGCACTTGCTTGGTGGTTAAGAGAAGCTGTACATGGAATTTAGTAACCTCTTTATAACAAACAAACACATCAAAATCACAAGTGAGAACTCTGAAAGATCCCTCCTAGTAAAACCCCATTCTCTACTGCAGAATAACCAATGACTAGGTACAGACATTTAAGAGTTTCCATAATAGTTCTAAGGTTCTTCTCCTGCACCACTCATGCTTACTGCTTTAAGAGACCACAATTATTTTCATGCTTTCTTCTTATGCAGAAACAAGACATTGCCACAGACAGCTTGGCAACATTCTCACCATACCTAACCTACTCATTAAATCAACAATTTGTTCAGCCACACTCATTTTGAAATGGTAACATACGGCGATCATAAGGTCCTTATTTCCTCTCTCCCTTGAAGGACAGAAGTCCTATATGGTACACATGTTCTCTTTTAACTATTTTACAAGTGAGGATAATGTGAGAAACCCTAGGGGTGTCCCAAAGTAGGACTACAAGTCATTTCACTGCTTTCCTCATCAGCAGCCTTCAAGAAATTTAGTTGAATAAACATCTGAATAAAGGGCTACAGCCCCAGGGGCTATACAATTTCACAAATTATTTTTATCATGGCCCAGGGAGTCACATGTAGACATTTTCTCAGCTCCACATCAAGAATAAAAATGTTAATGAGAAAAAAGTTTAACTTGGTTTGAAATCTTAGTTCTACAATGAAAGATTAATGCTTTTTTTTTAAAAAAAACTAAAGTTTTATTTTTGGTGAACTACATAATACAGAATCATCTTTGGTTCAGCTCACATCCATACACATTTGGCCACATTGAAAAGTCAAAACCATGTCCTTAAAATAAAGATATTAAAATATTTTTTGTCTAACTTGGGTAAGCCCTGTCTCTATCAACAGTGTGAAAAAGGGTTCTATTTACTTAGTAACTTAAACATGCATCAAAGTTTTCATTCTTGTATTTAAATGCACTTCCTATATTGCAGAGAATACCCAGAGAATATTTTTTAATAAGCAGCAACTTATATACTGTTAAATTCCTGTGAGCCTAAAAAACTTTACTGCTATATATATTTTTAAAGTATCTGAGAAGAGCAAAGAGACATCTAAAACCCTGAGAACAAAACTGTCCCTGCTTTCTTCTCATAATTCTGGCAACGTGAGTCAGAAGAAGAGCCAGCTTTCACACTCCAAGTCAATTCTGGAAAGTACTCATGTTAACCGCAACCCAGGACTAAATCAGAGTAGATTTATTACGTGAGGGTGAGACTAGCACATTAAGAGGCTAGTGCTTTACCATCAAACTTGAACGACATACTTAAAGTCCCCACTAGTCTAGTACTAGGAATATCTGATATTTTGTCCAACAGATATTTACAAATTGTTTCCTCACAAATATCAATTTTATGTAGTCTACATAATGTTAAACTAGTTTTATAAATAAGGAAATATCTTGTTCATTAATATGTCCCCAGTATCTATCAAAATACTTATAAATAATCATTAAATGAAAGTAATGTATGATTGAGACACAGCAACTGAGATCTTAAGAACCAAATTGAGCATAATCCTGCAAAATAGACTCTTTGGAAAGCCTTATAGTAATTATAATGATTCTGTCTATTGCACAATTGTTTTTGGTGCATCTCTGGAACTACCTCTGTAAAGATGCATATTTTTCCTCCTACTAGAAAAGCTTGGGAACCTCACAAGTAGAATTAAGAAATTCTCCACTCATCATTAGCAACTCAAAATGGAGTACAGAAGAGAGGGCTGAGTCCCACTGTCAAGGTCCCTGTGAGGAATGGCTAAGGACAGTATCACCAACCAGGACGCTCTGAAATCCAGAGGGTCATGTCCTGAGCAGCAATGTGACCCAAGGAGCTAATCTATGAAAACTTCTCCCTGTGAAGTGTTGCTGATAACCTTGGTAAACACCTGCCTAAAATGCCAGTTTTGAGAAGGACAAGGATATGAAAGAAAAAAAAAAGTCACTTTGAAAAGCCTGTGTAGGTTCACCCATTAAAAAAGGATAATAAATGATAAAAGATGACCTGATATATTAAACCACTACCAGCAACATCATCAATATTTATTGAAAGCTTAATGACCTAATGGCTATACACTTTTCTTTTACCTTCTCTCACCAAGAATGGAATCATAAAATTGGCTGACTTTCTAAGAAGTAATTCGATTTTCATTGAATTTGACTTATGAGTTAGATATTTAAAAAGTATCAAAGACAGCATCAGTTCATGAAAGCAAGGTGACTCCCCTAGAGCCTACAACTGGATGAGTAGTCACATGAAATATATACACTTTTGTTCTCTTTCTGTACCTGCTGATGCAAGTCTTGAGATGAGACTGACGTAAAAAGAATTTGCTATGACAGCTAATTCTCACACGTTGAACATTTATAAAAAATCTGCATTCCACTTTGCTAATTATTGAAGGTATATAAAAAATAAGGTAAGAAACATTTCATGCTTATCAAATTAGTTAAAAATACATTACTGATAATGTCCAAATGCTGGAAAGGCTGTGGTAAAACTGGTATACTCATAAAGTATTGGTGCACAGTGTAAGTTGGAAAACCCATTAGGAAAGCAATTTTATAATATAAATCATGACCATGTTGTATTTATGCATTTTGATATGTACTGTTGATAAGAATTTATCATAAAGAAGTATTTCAAATAAAGAAAAAATCACTTAAGCAGGAAAATATTCATCACAAAATTTCCAGTAAAGAGATACTGAAAAGTAGCATAAAATAACCAACAGAGGTATAGTTAAATTCATGTTTAAAATTTTTGGTACTGAGAACGAAGTAGCAATGCAGGAAAATGCTTGACAAAAGATAAATAAGATACAAAAGCATATTTTCACCGTGACTGCAACCATATGAAAAAAAATACAGATATGCAAAAGAACAACGGACTGCACAATAGTGCTAGTTATTTGCCGTTCCTGACTTCTTGCCAAATTTTGTGAAATGATGATATATTATCTTAAAATTAAAATAAAAAGCCATTAGAATTTTAAAATAAAATATTTCCCTAAAAATAGCCTGTGTATCAACCTTTTTCCGTAAAAAAGATTTAAAGTCAAAACTTGGTTATAGAACCTCTGCATTAAAAAAATCAGTAAATATGAGGGTACTTCAAAAGTTCATGGAAAAAATGCTGCGGAGTTGGGGGAGGGAGAATGGGGAATGACTGTTTAATGGGTACAGGATTTCTATTTGGGGTGATTTTAAAGTTCTGAAACTAGATAGTGGTGATGGTTGCATAACATTGTGGAAATACTTAATGTCACTGATTTGTATATCTTAAAATGGTTTAAATGGTAAATTTTGTTACGTGGATTTTATAATAAAAAAGAATTTTTAAAAAAGAATTTTTAAAAATGTTCATAGAAAAAAATGGAATTAAAATATAATACAATCTTACCATGAACTTTTTGAAGACCCCTTGTAAATAATAGGTTCCCACGTCTTACCACCTTCTCACCAAAAACCTTACAAATCCTCAGGCTAGATCACTTTCGATAGTGAGGCACATTATAGTCCTGTATTGGCAAGGTAGATTGCACATTATCATACTACAGGTTCTGAGAAGATTTGAAATAAACTTCTTTAACTCTGGCTAGCCCAGCATTTACTGAAACCCCCCTTTGTTTGGAAGACATACACACATTCTTCTCACCACAGTTTGGGAAATGGTGCTTGGGCCTATGACGCTCAAAGGGGGCAACAGAAGGAAGGCATCTTAATTTCCAAGGAGGTGTTTACAGACTCTACGCTCCCAGTTGGGAGTCACTAAAGACAATATGCCTTTTTCCTAAGGTATATATTTTAAGGTAGAGAAAAAGCTTGAGAACTACTGATTTATGCAGCTACTTACAAACAACTTAACTCCACTGAGGGAAGAAAACACAAAAATAAACCTTTTCAGGTAAAGGTTTGGGAGATTTCCTGGCTCCTACAAAAAGGGGTTCTGATCAAGTCCAAAGACAATAGCAGTTTCTACAAAGGAACAGCATCTCTTCTGTAATTATGAAATGGCTAACAAAGAAATCTGAATAATCCATATAAGAACTAGTCAGTTTCCCTTTTAGTTATACATATAGTATTGCTCATGAAATGTAAAAAAATAAAGTATATATCTTTTTGAAGTCCGGTTATTTAAAAAAAAATACATATGTATGTGGAAGTAGGGTGTCTCCAACGGGTAAATACCCAGTATCCACTCCCCAGAGCTGAGGGACGGGCAAATAGCCCTCCACCCCCTTCTACACAGTTCTTTAACATTATAAGACTATTACCTCTGGTCTAAGTGTAGCTTTCATGCAGGCTGGGCAAAGAGGCCCATTTCGGGAGAACTGAAGGGGTAGGTGCCGAGTTCTATTGCGACATGTTGGCTCCTCACATATCAACCAGCCCTGGGGAGAAAAAAAGAGAAAACTTTAGTCTTATCATCACCATGGACAAATACAAATAATAAACCCTTTTGTTATCAAGATATACTAATTTTATTCAAACCTTCCTTACAGATTCTGAAATAGCTCTAGTTACCTTTCTCTCCTGATATGTTAATTAGATCTATGCTCCAAACTTAAAAGTTAGGAAACCCATTAAGTTAAGAAAAAGAGATCACATGAGATGTTACTTCCCTTTTCTTAAAAACAAACAAACAAAAACCTTCCCCCACATACATACATCAAAATCTCCCAATAAAAACTTCCGTTACATGCAGAATGTAAACCATTGGGTTTTAGTTCATTAGTAAAGACCATTATCAAAGTCAGGATTGTACCACATAGAAATGAATGACCTTTCCAACAGCTGCATAGACTGTTGGCTAGTTAGTTAATTGCTGTGCTCAGTTTCCTTCTTTGTAAAATGGGTACAACAGTACTTACCTTATAGAGTTGTTATAGTGATATAATACATTTAAAGTGCTTAGAACTTGGAATAAAAGAAACAATAAATGTAAGCAATTATCTCATTTAAAATCAAAACAGATTCTTCAATATAGATTCGTCTATATAGATTGTCTGGAGGCACAACTCTGGCTATAATGTTTTCAAGGACAACTTCAACTGACCACTATTTTCCAGACATTTGAAATAGCCATTGCCCCCTTCTCTGTCCTTTAGAACCCTCTTCTCATTTCCCTTCGTCAGTTACTCTCCTTTGCTGTTCTTGTTTGAATTTTCTCATAGTGATGCAACAACATGCCTGTTATCTTAAATCAGCATTATGTTTGCTATAAAATTTATCTGTTAAACACGGAAAACAAAGCTCAGATGGTGACAGTAAGGCACCAAGGTCTGTGGGCTTTGGTGTTACATGTATTGCCTGAGGCCTAATAAGCATAAGGCAAATGAAAGGTGAGGTGCTAGGGTATAAAGGTGAACAAGGTATGCTCCCTTGTCTCAGGGTGCTACTACCTGGGGAGCCACAAGTAGGGACCTGAATATTTGTAGGTCTTGCAGTGTTTTGAGAAACAGCAACTTCTGAAATGGTCTTTATGAGTGTAAGTTTGCTAGGTGGAAAAGGTACGAAAAACAACTTAGGCAGAAAGAACAATATATGCCAACAAATGAAGGCCAGAAAAGGCTGTGCTGTGATATCATTAAGAAAGGGATCAATATCACGTAGAACCCCATTCCCTACTTCTAAACCGAGCAACCTGTTGGTCTTTTATCCCTAGATAAGAGCAGTATATACATGATGGTTGCTTAATTAGGTTAGGTACTTTAGTCTGCCACTTAGTAGTGTTTCCATGTGGTGTTGATCCAAAGCTGAGGGACGCCCTCACTCAATGCTGTGAGGTTTGACCTCATTCCTCAGAACAGGCACTTCTTAGAAGTAGCTATAACCAAACTCAAGGGAAAGCATCAAGAATCAGTTCTTCTAGCTCCATCTAAGGCTTTCACACAGAAAGTACACTGTACAACTTTTTGACTAAAAAAAATTTCTACCTTTAAAGTATAAAATTCACCTAATCAGTACATTCATAGTAAGCTTCATTACTACCTTCATTCATCAGGCTAAACTATTTTAAAATTTAATTTGAACTTTTCAGGTAGAGGGTCTCAATGAGACCTTATGAAACTTTTAATATATGCCAGAATTATATTAAATATTACGGGGAATAGGCAAAGTTGCCCCAGGCACAGAGTTTCAGGAAAACAAGGTCTACATGCAAAGACTAAAAGCAAGTCAGTATGGTTTGGCTTTAAAATCAAGTTGTGTGGGGCCAACTATAAATGCTAGACAATACAGAGGAGAGAGTCCTGTCTGAGACAAACTACTACCACCACAGCATAAGACCATGAACCAGAATAAAGAATTGCTGGTTCTGAGTCACAGGCAACTATTTGTTCCAATTCCTAGGACCTACTACCCATTTTCTTGAAGAGACATTTATATTCATATTTCTGAAACTCAGATGGATTTACATTTGACACATACAGTTTAATGATGTATTTATGTTTACTTCAAAAAAGCTGTTAAGAGTGCAGCTCACAATTGGCCCCTTAGAATTAAAGAAACAAGATATTTTGGTTTAGCCTATTCTAGGCATGGGGACACAGTGGGGAATAGCAGAACTGACAACAGCAAGAGGTATTAAATTTTAAAGTAGCCTATAAACACTGAGGGTGAGACTAGTTGTTTCTGAAGTTCCCGTGTAGGCATATTAATAAAGGAAACAGTAGAATTCAAGCAAACCATGTATGAAAAACGCAGAACTGGACCACTCCTTTATCATTCATTTGGGTTTGTTACATTATACTTGATATCCAAGGCCTTATACGCTTTGGAATGTGTAGTTAGTGAACACCGCATAGTTGTAATTCACTCAACTTTAAACAAAATAAAAAATAAGCAAGCAGACAGGTAACAACCATCATGTTTTGAGACAATAAATTAAGTACCAGAATACAACCTGTAAGTTAAAACTATTTTTTAATTTTTAAAATATAATATTCAAAAAGCTAAAGTTCTTTTCAGATGTTTTTGAAACTTGATTTTGTCAATTTACTACAACTTTATGACTCACTAGGTGAGCTGCCAACAAGGGAGATGCTAAGTTGTCATCTCACCTGTTTTTAAGCAAACACCTAACTCTATCTCTGACAGAGTTACTAACTAAATGTCCTTCCAAATCACATAGAAAACAGATAATATAATTTATCTAGACTTCCTACCAGTTATAATTAACATTAAAGAGGTCTTTTTTTCTTTGTCACCTCTCTATTCAGTGCTTATTTGGGTTTGTTTGTACTAACTATCGGTTAATCTCCCCTTACAAATGACAACAATAACTAGTGCTATTATGCATGGAAATTAAACATGTTGATAACTGTGAGAAGGGAACTGGGGCTGAAAAAAAAATATTAGAAGCCTGTAACTCTTTATGCTTCTTGTTTTATTTTGATAATTAAGCTTTTGGTCATGGTGTATTTTAAACAAAACTCTTCTATGGGGGAAACAGTCGGAGATAAGCTTTGCTTCAATTCAATTTCATCAAGTACATTTTGGTTAACCCTTTGTTCCCCCAACAAATGTTAACCGACTAGCCTAAATCTAACTTCCAAGGAACATTTATGTTGTTAAAAATAAATATGTCAGGCCTTTAAAAATATTCCATGGCAGGACAAATCAGTACAAGATCTCATAGTAAATCTTGCTTCTCAAGGGTGATAAAAACAAAGCAAATGAAAATACTAATACTGTATAAGTTCACTTTGAATTATTACTCACAAAGATAAAACTAAACTTATTTTCATTTCCCATTTTGGAAAATAATGTATAGCCCAAGGCTGTGTTGACAAGTCAATGTTAGAAGAAATTTTTAATAGAAAGTGTAGTTCCTTGGAAGTCCAATCTATAAAAAGGTTTGGGTTTTAGTAAAAACCTCCAGAACCGTTGTAAGGATGTCTGCCATCCAAGTATATCATTTTATTATGTAATGCCACACACAAATTGTCACAACCAACAGGAATAAGGTCATCAAGTTTTCATTTGACTAGCTTAACCACATTTATAAGTAGAAGGTTCAAAAGAGGTGAAGCCAGCCTGGCCAGTAGCAAAACAAACCTTAACCAAAACATGCAAAGCTCTATTACCTGTTGCTTTAATCTCAGCATCACTAATTCCTTAAAATCATTGTGTACGGAATTGTGTCAAATGCTGATTGGTTCTGATTGCTAAATTATATTTCTGAGGCCTCAACTAAAATGGTTTCTGTCTGCACATGCTAAAAAGGGATCGATTTGCACTTGTAACTGAGGCGTTCCTGGTAGTTGCACCTTAAACAAAAACTGTTATTCACTTGTGTACATTTGTATTTTTAGAAGAATGCACATGCAGAAATCATACAGATGTGGAAATGTGGTACATAGGAGGGCCTCGAAAATATCTTTTGAATAAACGAATGAATAGAAACGATAAAATAAAAATACAGAGGAGCAAGTTTATGAAAAATAATAAGAAAGGGTCTAAAATTCACAGGAGAAAGAAAAATCACAGTAGTTCTCATACTCTTGAGTCAAATATATGGTGGGTCCTTCTCCCATTCCCAATCAGTCACTAAGTCTATCTACGGTCATTCCTTTATTGTCACATTACATCAACCTCACCCAAGCCCAGACCTGAGAGTTGTCTACTGTAGTAGCCTCCTCTCTGGTTTCCCTGACTCCGTTCTCCCCCCCAATCAGTGCAGAGTTGTCAAGTGTAGTTTCCCAGGGTTCTCCACTCCCATTCCCCAATAGTATACCCTGCATAGACAATTAAGAACAAACTCGTTGATCTGGCTTTCAAATCTTTACAATCTCATTCTGTCCTCCCCTTTTTCATCATACTCTTAGGCAAACTCTTCACCCCACTGGATTGGTTTTCTCACTGTGCTCACCACATCTTGCCTATTTTCACCTCCTTGTCATTGCTCATACTGGAGAACCTCTACCTAAAATGTCCATTCCTTGACCATCAGTTCCATTCCTCTTCTGTGAAATTTTCCCAGCCCACAGCAACTTCTTCTATCCTACCTGACACTGAGCACACACTGCTTGGCACTGTCCCTTAACCATCTTATTTTACTTCTCTAACTAGATGGTCAGTCCGCTGGGGATGATCTGCTTTGAATTTGGTAGTGTCCTCCTTAATCTCTATCACAAAGGTTTTCTTACACTCAATGAAGAATACAGAACTAGGGTTATGAAAAACTGCACGTGAGTGGTGTTCCTTCCCTCCCATTTATTAATGGGCAATTTTGTGTAAGTCACTGAACCCACTGAAACTCTGAGCCTCAGTTTCCTTGTCTATAAAACAGAAGGTAATAATATTTGCCCTTCAGAGGATCAAATAAGCAAACTCACAAAAATGTTCAGTAAATGTAAGATATTGTTATTATCCTACGTATGCCTCCAGT